ACTGGAGGGAACATACCTCAACATAATTAAAGCCATATATAACAAACCCACAGCCAACATCATTCTAAATGGAGAAAAACTGGAAGCATGCCCATTGAAATCAGGAACCAGACAAGACTGTCCACTGTCTCCACTTCTCTTTAACATAGTGCTTGAAATTCTTTCGAGAGCAATAAGACAAGAGCAGGAAATTAAATGAGTAATAATTGGACAAGAAGAGATCAAATTATCCCTTTTTGCAGATGATATATTATATCTAAGAGATGCCAAAATTTCCACCAGAAAACTCCTAGAAATAATTAACACTTTCAGTAAAGTGGCAGGTTAAAAAATTAAGCTACAAAAGTCTGTAGCCTTTCTATATACCAATAACAAGCAATCAGAGAAAGAGTACATGGAAATACTCCCTTTCACAATAGCAGCAAAAAAAACACCTGGCATAAGCCTGACCAAGGACATTAAATAGCTCTACAATGCAAATGGAAGACATCAGAAGATGGAAGGACCTCCCATGCTCATGGATTCGAAGAATTAATATTGTGAAAATGACCATCTTACCAAACGTCAGTTTTAGATTCAATGCAAAGCCAATCAAAATCCCCATGACATTTTTCGCAGAATTGGAAAAAACATCCTAACAGTCATATGGAAGCATAAAAGACCTCAGAGAGCCAAAACAACAGTAAGCACTAAGAGCAATGCCGGGGGGATTACTATAGCAGATTTTAAGCTGTATTACAGAGCTACAGTCATAAAAACAACATGGTACTGGCACAAAAATAGACCCATAGACCAATGGAACAAAACTGAAGACCCAAATATGAGCAAATGCAATTTCAGCCACCTGATATTTGACAAAAGGGCCAAGAACATCCACTGGAGGAAAGACAGCATGTTCAAGAAATGGTCTTGGCAAAACTGGAGAAGAACGAAACTTGTAGAAGAATGAAACGAAACCCCTATCTTTCATCCAGCACAAGTCAATTCCAAATGGCTCAAAGATGCCAATGTAAAACCTGAAACTCTGAAACTATTAGAAGAAAACATTGAGGAAAACCTACAAGATATAGGTGTAGTAAAGGATTTTCTAAACGGGACATCAATTGCTCAGGAAACAAGGGCAAGAATTAACAAATGGCACCTCATTAAACTAAAAAGCGTCTGTACATTAAAGGACCCAACCAGGGAAGCGAACAGAAAACCCACAGAATGGGAGAAAATCTTCACCA